CAGCTGATTTGTCAATTGCAAGATGCTGAAACGAGAGAACAACGATCATTCGATCGCAACACAACATCGGATAACAACACATCATTCCATTTACAAAGTGAGATAGTAACAGATCCTACCACGCCAAGGCCGGAATTGCCGTATATGCCAGAATTTTCTGTCATTGATCAAACATTTCCGGAGAGCATGCTGAGTGGAGATTCCCACGAAGTGTTTGCAAATAGTAATTTCAATGGTACACTGGATAATACAGTAGTCAATTTGAATACAGACGGCTCGACAAGCGGAAGTGTTAATAATTCTGAACATAACGATAAACTTGAAGACAGCTTGAAACGATTGAATATCTGTAACTCGCAATATTGCGGTGAACAAAACAATTGTGGGGATGTGCAACGTTCCGGAAGTTACATTGATAGTGATACGAAATCTAGTCTGCCTGTTATTCTGCCTTTGGGGTCTCAAGACGCAACTTCCAACAAGCTTGCTCTAAAGATCAGTACGCGACAAGAACCTGAGAACAAAGGATACGGTTCTATGATCGAAACGACAAATCTAAGCAGCTCTGAAAATTCACCGGACAGTACTTTGGACAGTGGTGCCGCAACAATGACCATCACCTCATCTGATAGTGGGCCGATGAGTGATGTCACACCAAGTGAAGTCAGCAATGGGATTAGTGATAAGAGAACAGTTTATACGTTCGATGAGAACGATTTCAACATCAAAACTAGCGACAATGTTTCTAGTGATTTGGACTCTAAGACACCAACATCCAATCTTAGTACTCCTCTTTCTCTGAGTCCGAAGAAAACCATGTTAGCAGATACCCGACTGCACATAAGTTTTTCCGATGACGACAACACGGAAAACTCTGAAGATTCTGGTGTGCCGCAGCAGGCTCAGATAGTAGACTCATTAACTTTTGAAGACTTTGACAACTTGAGTTCTGGTTAAATTCTGAAAAGTGTGTCATAGAAAAACAAAAGCAAATTTAAAGTCAGACGTGTTGTGGTCGATTTACTTATCACATTATGTTCTATTTTTAGAATATTTTAAGTAGCAATGTACATATGTAGGCAAACTAAAATTTAATTTTAATGGAAGCAACCATGTTAGTTGGATTGTGGGGGGGGGGGGGGGTACAAGTATATTTAAAAGGGTGAAGTGACATTTTCTGAAATAACTTTTTTTGTAAATACCCCACAAGTCAGCTCAGATTGTGTTGACTGTTATACATGTATATACATAAAAGTCATTTTCAAGGCCAACATAACTTAGTTTTCGGTAGAAGTTTATTTTGCAAGACAAATGTCACTGAGTTTAGGCTGAGGTTACATGTATCGTGACTTTGGTAAATTTTACAATCCACTTTAACTGCCATAAAATTTTCATAATCTCATATTGTGACAATTACAAGTTTTACAGTTTCTTGATAATGTTCAAATTGTTCAGTTCTGACGATTGTCAAAGTGTAAAGAAACTGGGCTTATTCTTGCGTGATAATTTTATTGTATAATATTAAACCCAAATCTTGTTATATATTTGTTTGAAAAATACTATTTTGTTAAGAAAATTAGTTACCATAGTGATGATGTATGATCTAGTCTTGTCTTCCATAATGTATTTATGTTAATATGTACCTTTTGACTTTTTTGAATAATAATTGACACCTGGATAAGAACACCCATACGTGCACACACACTCCAAGTTTGAACAATATTTTTCTAAAGGTCAAACAACCATTGTGGTTGATAAAAGTGGAATTATTTGTAAAGTATGCATGTTCTCTGATGTTGTCCGATAGTTCACATGAAAGATTTGTGGTAACTTCACCACAGTTAGCTTTGCACTTTGTCAGCCATGATGGATTTGGTGTATAGTGACCCTGAGTTGATCTTTTCACTTCTGTCAGTTTTGATGTAGTTGATGCAAAATTTATTGTTGAATTCATATGTGATCATAACTGGATCACGTTTAGCACTATTTCTTCTCTTCTTATGCAACAATTTCCGAAGAGTTGAATGCATGAAACTATTAAAGGTCAGAGGTTAGAGGTCAACTAGAATTTGACAAATCCAATATGGCTGCTGAAAACTAGACAAATCACATACACAAATCCAATATGGCTGCTAAAAACTAGGAAAATGATATGCACATTACATTATAAAATTTTCTGCACTAACTTATTTTCTACTGGTAAATTATTCTATGTCAAGAACTTTAAATTCACTGCCATTTTTTTTAAGTTACCCGGTAATACGAACATGTTATACCACGCTTTACAGTGCGTTTTCTAACGGGACTTATTGTATAGGGATTTTGAGTCAAAATGAAATCCACAAATCAAGTTGAGTCAGCTTGTTAACTACTTGGAAGAGAGGTATTCAAGAAAAGTGTTTATCAATGTAGGGAACTACGGAAGACACAAACTGAAATGATGTTGCTTCTGATTTCCTTCATTTTGTTTGTAAACTGGAATTCTGTTTTTTCCAAGTTACAAATTTCGTAACTACGTTAAAATGTTTTTCAGTATATCACTGTATGATTTTCTAATATGCCAATGACCTGCCAGGGAATTAGCATAATTAATTGCGTCACAACAGCCTTTGCGTTTTTGATGCGCCAAATTGTTTAGAGTGGCTCACTGGCGCTTTGCAATTATAGTTATTGGTATATCTTAATAATTCATTAAAAATGTTTATTATAATGTTACATTTTATTGTATTTTCAATCCTAAATAGTTCAGTGATAATGATGTTCATAAAACTGGCAAAGTTGGATTTTTTGCTAGCCCGAGATTACACAACTTTGTTTGGGTGCATATTCAGACACGTTTTTTCACACGTATAATGACTGCTGATGTGTGGTAACAATATATATTGAAACCTGTTTATTGTCCAATAGTTTACTTAAATACTTTTTTAGAAAATACATGTACTTCCTTAAGGTCCCCTCACCCCACCCATGAACTACACCCTGCAGCTTCCTAATGTAATTGTATACACCACTCTAGGTACCTATACGTGTCCTGTAGAGAGGCATATACAATTAAAGTAGGGGAGAAGGACTGGGGGGGGGGGGCAAGGTTAGCATTATTATGGTGAGGGGCCCTAAAAGAAGTATTGCCCTCTGTGCATGATCATTTACAGTGTTGTCAAACTGTGATGAAAGTAATGAAAGATTATTGGCACACTAGTACAGTATTTGCCTTTACATTGATTCTTATGTGCTGCATAGTTTACCTGGAAAATGTAACCAACCTTGCTATTGGTTAAAAAACATCTAACCCTCTTTTCAAAAACCAATCTGGATAGTTTACAGTTTTGACAGTGATATTAATCGTTATTTCTCCCATGCTATGTAATGCGAGGAACTTAAATAAATAACTACTGTGTAGCTTTTTTCAGAAATATTACCTTGTTGCCATTTTTTCTTGAATGTGAAATTTGTTGACAGATGTTGATTTGCAATGGTGGTAAAAGCATATTTATTTTTAGTTCCTGTTCGGACCAATCTGGTTTTTCTTTGGTTTTATGAAAACAAAATCTTGAAAAAAAAAGTGGTCAGAAATGTTGTTCTATATTATATATTTAAACTGTAAAGAATGCATTCCATTATAAAGAGTCGTCACTGAAATACCTGGTCACAAAGTTGAAGATCAGTGAAAAGACTTTGCAGTTACTGTATATAAAACATGGCCAACTGTAGAGAG